GGGCTATACAATGCAGGCTTGGGCTTTGACCTTGACTCCTGATAATGCATTCAGGCATGGCTGAGCGCGCTCCTCTTGTGCAGTGTTGCTGTGGAATTCAGGGTGAAGTTGTGACAAAGGTCACACTTTAAACACGTACCTGTCCATGACCTTTCATGACTTTCCTTTCTCCCGCTCTCCTATCTATATACAATACGAAATAAATCACGCACAGTCCTAAATCCATCATTGTGTAATGACCATAGACTAATAGATCATTCTGCAATCAACCCTTCTTCCTCCAATAAATATAAATCCCTTCAGCATAAAAGTACAATAAGTGTAATCCGAACACATGTAAACTTTAAATGTAGCATCCAATATTAAAATATATATTTATATATTAATAAAATAATTTTTTTGATTTATTTTGATTTTATTTACACTTTGCACTATTTTTTAAAACTTTTTTTCCACTTTTATTTTGAATTATCTCAAGCAGTCATTGTGAATGGATCTCACCATGACTGATTGATAATTTCATACATTAATTTTTGGTTATTATTAGGCTGCTCCAAACTTAGGAACAGCCAATAATAACCTTAGAGACGCTGATGCTGACATCATGTCAGGTTCAGTGTCAGTAAAGGCTTCTGATCATCATTCCCAGAACGATCAGAAGCCTGCAACATTGTTTCAGAATAATAACACATAGCTTTTCATTCTGAAACATTGTAGAAAGAAGCTGGTTCACATCAGGATCCCGATCTACACCAAAGTGACAGCAAAGTGCCGTAAATACCGTTCTGCTATCACATTAGACACCCTGCGTCTGAAAAAGCTTAACTCCTCCACACACAATACTGAGGCATCCATTAATGAGCGGTAACCGCTGATTCTCATTTCACAGGACCAAATACAGTAATACCTCGGGTTACAAGTAACTTGGTTTGCGAGTGTTCCGCAAGACATTTTGCCTCGATATTAGGGCTGGGGAAATTAACGATTAATTCCTCAAACTTTTTGATCGATTAAAATTCTTTTGATGGAAAATGAAAACACTCACCTCTCCGCCGGCTTTCGGGAGTCCCGTCGGAGATCCGGTGACATCACGGACATCGATGTCACCGGACTCCTCCCCCCTTCCCCAAGCGGCTCTGTCGGCTAACGAAGGGAAGTCCGGTGACGTCAATGTCCGTTTCGTCACTTGACTCCTCCCCCCCTTCCCTTCGTTAGCCGACCGAGCCACTTGGGTCGGTGAGTTTGCCCAAGAAGCACCAAGCTTCTGTCTTATCTTAAACTTATATATATATATGCACTATGTGGATCTCCATTATACCCCGCCCCCCATCTCGCTCCCAGAAATGTGCCCATTGAAATCTACTGATATTATGTTGCAATCAGGTCCCTAAATGAAATGGAATGGACGGGTGCTGCTACTTCAAATATTAAGCTAATACTTATGTTTAAACCACCCTTAGGGCTTTGCTGTTTTACTATACTACCATAGGTAAATACATTTGTAATCCAGCACGTTATTATTCTGAGTATTCGTGAGAATAATAACGTGCTGGATGAGTGTGATCCTAGTTCATTTTATGACTTCATTGCTGTGCTGTATGTGTATAGGCCAATGTAGTTGGATCTGTATGTGCGTTATAATTAAATCAAAATCAATCGATTAAAAATGTTTTCGATTAATTCGAACACGAAAATTTTAATCATTACCAGCCCTAGTTGATATATAAGCGCGCAGCTACCTCCTCATGTATCACTTGCCCCTCCCTTTTAGATTGTGGGCCCTCCTTACCATCTTATCTTAAATTGTATTGTGACTGTAATGTCTTCCTTAGATTGTAAAGCGCTGTGCAAACTATTGGCGCCATATAAGTCCTATATAATAATAATAAGCGATGTCTTGCAATACGAGCAACATTTGGTAGAAAAGCACCACCCGAATAAGGCTGTAGCAGTGCGAGCGACGAATCTGTTTAACGACAATGCAATGTCACATTTCCTTGAAATCCTCAAAAGGAGGCAACAGCGCTTGTCATTGGGTAGATTCCTTGTAGAGGTTTCACGAAAGGAAAAAGATTCCATTGAGCCGAGAGATCGCAGTGACTCCGATAGTGAAAGTCGTCCTAATCCTCCTCCTCTGTCGTCTCCCTCACACCGGCCACAAAGGTGCCGTACCTGCCATTGGTTTATTTTTCTTTGTATTTTGTACAGTATTGTAATCATTTTTAGATGAATATATTTTGGGTTGTGGAACGAATCATCGGAGTTGCCACTATTTCCTCTGGAGGAAACTCGCTTTGATATACAAGCGCTTTGGATTACAAGCATGCTTCTGGAGACGGATTATCCTCGTAAATCAAGGTATCTCTGTAGCTGCTCACGTGCAGTGTACATCTCCTGTCACGAAGGGGTTAATGTACTAATGTGAATCGCTGGAGGTGGCGGACCTTTTGCACTTTGTAATGGAGGTTGCTATTGAATACAATGTAAGTTTACATGGGTTTGGATTACATTTATTGCACTTTTGTTTACCGACTTTTACATTTTTATGGTTGACGTCGTCCGTGTAAAACACAAGACATGGTGAAGGGATTTATACTCGTAGGAGGAAGAAGGGTTGAATTTGGAATGATCTCTGTGTAAGATCTTTAATTGCTCAGGGTTTTATATATTGGAACGATTACCAATGGGCACAATTTATTTAATATGCATCACATATCAGTCTCAGATCTGCGGGAATTTTTCTCCATTACCCATTGCACACCTGACCCAGGAAGCTTTGTGTGTGTGCGCTGCAGTGACAAACGGATGGTGCCGTTCAAATCAAGAAGAGTCACTGGCACCCCAAAAATCCTTAAACATTTCATCTCTATTGGCACATAGTCCAGTATCACAGAAATTGTGATGTTTTGGGGCCACCAAGGGTTTATTCATCAGCAGAGGCGCCCCCAGGCCGGGTGTGACATCATCACACGCGCACACTTAACTGCCGGTGATGGACGCTGGCAGAGAGAAGAAGGGAAGTTCTTCTGGCGGGATAAGGTATGCCACTGGGTCTTCTCCTTTCTCGTACAGCTGTCATGAGGCATTTTGGTGTCACCCCCTCTGACTGTCACCCAGTGCGTGGCGCACCCCCCTTACCACCCTTGTGACACCACAGTTATACAATACACTGTTTTAAATCACACGTTTACCCTGATGAAGGGGCGCTGTGCAGCCCCGTAACATCACAATCTCTATGACACTGTGACTTTGTGCCAATAAAGATGAAATGTTTACAGGTTTTTGGCGTTTCCTTAATTTGTGCCCGCGGGTGCTACCTCTAGCATTGCTCAGGTCAATGTAATAGTACGGCTTCTCATACTGCGCTGATTACTATTGTTGGCCACGTTTGCCCTCGCTAGTACTGATTATATCTGGCTTTGTTAAGTCACAATACAACTAGGGATGCACGGATATATCGGCCGCCGAAACATATCGGCCGAAAATGGCACTTTTAGCATAGTACCTGAAGTGCCATTTTTGGGCCGATACAGCGGTGCATCCGTTCTTTCTCTCCTTCCTGCTGGGCGCTGCTCTGTGTCCCAGCGGGGAGGAGAGAAAGTGTCACAGGCGGCCGAGCGCTGCGGGAGGAGAGCGCTGTGAGTGGCCGGCGTCTCCCCTCCCACACCGCTCAGCCTCCTATCATAGTCTGGCAGAGCGTTGTGTGGGCGGAGACAGCCAGCGCCGTCACAGGAGACTGAGCTCACCTCCCCGCACCACTTGCTCAGACTCCTGTGACAGCGTGTCAGGGTGGAGAGCCGGAAACATAGAAAAAGATGGTAACCGCATACATTTATGACCAGCCTTTGTAGCAGGGTGCACATGAGAAGGCTGACAACAATACAAAACACAAAAAATCCCCAGCACACCTGCCAGCAAACAAAACAAATTATCCCGTCTAACAGTATAAGTTAAAAGCAGAGGAATGAATGGGAAGTGATCTACATCACTTCCTGTTCATTCATGATTGTGGTTATAGTAAACACACTCTGTCCTCATGTTATGAATGATCAGGAACACTCAGTATAGAGGATTCCTGATCATTGATAACAGGGGACACAGAAAAAGAGATTTAGGACTCTGTGTCTCTGAGGACTTTGTGTTCTCAATCTCTTTTTCTGTTTTAAAATGGAAACATCAGGGGGTCTGTTTAGACCCCCAATATTTCCCCAAAGCCCCCTAAAAGTAAAGTAAAAAAACTAAAATATTTTATTAAAAATAAATATTAAAAAAATGTAAAAGTTTATAAAAAATAAATACAAATATAAAAAAAAAAAAAGTTAAAATAAAAACATTTTCGGTTTTAAATTTTGCATTTCGGTGCACCTCTAAATACAACCAATGTAGGTATTAGGCCTCATTCAGATGGGCGGCCAGAAGGAATGTAGTGATTGTATATTCATTCATGGCAGAAAGTACAACCAGCTTCTGGTGCTGTAATACCGAGTATACACCTCCTCCTCTCCACTTGTCTATATAGAGGGAGGGGATCACTTACATCAAATCCTCTTCCATTTCTACCAAAAAGTTTTAGAAAAAGACACGAAAATCAGAACAAAAGCATTATAGAAACCTTTTATAACTTCTCTTTTTTGGGAGGAAAGGGGAACATGAACATACAGGAATCCAAGGACAGGAGGAAATGGCACATGAGAAGAGGACCTGCCCCTTTTTTAATACTCTGAAAGTTCAGACCCCATACAGCCCAAATTTTTACTCTTTTAGGAACATTAAATAGGAAAAGTGCAGCAACCAAACTTTATCAATTCAAACGCGGCCCATCACACCTCTGGTATGGAAAAGCTTCCCGCTTCTATCCACAGTCCATTGTCAGCAGTAGGAGAGGAACGCAACAATTTTAAAATAAATAGTAAAACTTTTTTTCTCATCTCTTTAAAAAAAGACTCTAATATAAAACATATTTACAAAGTGTACAGTCCGTAGGATGGCATTGCAGAGTCCGCTGTGAGTCAGGGATGCAGCCGAGTGGTCCAGAGTCTGTGAGCTCCATATTCCAGTATGTGATCTCCATCCTGTGATCAGAGTTCAGGTAGTTTTCTCCGTTGTAGGAAACGTTTGCCGAGAACAGCTTGTCCGGCAGACTGTCCTCTTCTCTGCGGCACGGAACAGGAGACCCGAGCGACCCTCAGTAATGGGTCAGGTTGTTAATGAGTCTGTGCTGAAGTAGATTTCGTATTGCAATTGCTTCAAGTGTGATGTTGTGTCCTGACACCTGACAGAAGAAAAAGAACAGAACAGGTCAGCGGTTTCCAGTGCCGGCAACGCACAACGGTCCACTACTGTCTGGTTTATATAAAGTTATTTTGGCGTTCAGATCTTCCAAATGTTATGCATTGCCCATGGTTTTCCCAAAAACATTAAAGCTGAACCCCAGCCTTACCTTCTTCTCACTCGCATAGCAAATCGTCTCATAGTAACAGGGTCAATCTAGTTCAGTGTGTGTGTGTGTGTGTCTCATAGTAACAGGGTCAATCTAGTTCAGTGTGTGTGTGTGTGTGTGTCTCATAGTAACTGGGTCAATCTAGTTCAGTGTGTGTGTGTGTGTGTGTCTCATAGTAACTGGGTCAATCTAGTTCAGTGTGTGTGTGTGTGTGTGTGTGTCTCATAGTAACAGGGTCAATCTAGTTCAGTGTGTGTGTGTGTGTGTGTGTGTCTACCACTCATCCTGAAGTTTCCTGAATTTATCAATGTTATCCGCAGATACCACCGCCTGTGGTTGGGAATTCCAAACTTTCACCACTCTCAATACTACAGTTCTCGGATTGAACAGTTTGTTCCTAATATCGGGGTCCCCATTAATGATTTTGAAGACGGCAATAAGGTCGCCTCGTAATCTCCTCTTTTCTGAGGTGAAGTTAATACTTTGAATGCGGTCTTCATAACTCAGGCCTACAATCCCTGTAACTAATTTTGTAGCCCTTCTCTGAACTCTCTCCAGTTCCAGGAGGATGTCCCTCCTGAGAGTCGGCGACCAGAACTGTACCGCATACCCAAGATGGGGCCGAACCAATCATTTATAAAGTGGAAGTATTAGTCTTTCATCCCTCGCTACAATTCATCTTTTATTACACGCCAGGATCTTGTTAGCTTTGCTGGCTGCTGCTTGGCATTGCTTATTATTGCCAAATCTGTGATCTATGAGCACCCCCAAATCTGTGATCTATGAGCACCCCCAAGTCTCTTTCTATGTCTGACTTCCCTAAAGTAACACCCCCCAAGTTGTAGTTTGCACACAAGTTCTTTACTCCCATGTGCATAACCTTCCAATTTTTAACATTAAATCGCATTTGCCATCTTGCAGCCCTGGCCTCAGTTTTGCTCAGGTCCTGTTATAGTGCGAATATCTCCTGTTCGGAGTTTACTGCTCTGCAGAGTTTAGTATCGTCTACAAAAACCGAAACCATTTAGTCCAATCTCTTATGTCGTGGATGAATAAGATGAACCGGATCGGTCCCAGGACTGAACCCTGGGGCACCACACACCCAACCCTTGCTCAATTAGCGATGACACCTTTATCACTACCCTCTGGGTCTGTTCTTGCAGCTAATTTCCCCCTCCCCCCATGTACATACAATTTTATCTAGACCTAGAGACCTTAGTTTATGGATTAGACATTTGTGGGGCACTGTGTGGAATAGCAAAGTCCAGATACACCCCGTCTACCCGACACGCACCGTCTACCCGACACGCCCCGTCTAGCCGACACGCCCCGTCTACCAGACACGCCCCGTCTACCAGACACGCCCCGTCTACCAGACACGCCCCGTCTACCAGACACACCCCTTCCACTGGAATTCCTTTGTCTAGATTAATACTTCCTTCCTTATAGAATGTTAATAGATTGGTCTTCATGTTGGTTTCCACTTCTGGTAACCTCTGTTGGTCTCTTTTAAAAATGATTACCCACAGTTCCCTGCAAATCTCCACAATATAACCCTCTGATTCAGCAGCAGCAGCCTTGTGTCCAGCTTCATTTCTGGTCTAAACAACTTCAATCAACCGCAATCCCCATTTCTCCTGATTCATACTGTTGTTGGCCGGCCTCTCACAGCTGTTAGCTTACTCTGCCATCAGTCAATGTGATGATACTCCTGAGCATTATATGAAAGAACACATTCCCGGCATGCCTTCATATGTACATGCTCATGTGCTGCTGACTTTGACTCCTCTGTGCAATCTGCTGATCAGTTGCTTGATTACATTCAAATAGAGTTTAATCAAGCAGCTGATCAGTAGTCTGCAACACCCTGTGGCTAGAAAGATTACTGATCCAAAAGGATGCTGGGGTTGTGTTCTTTCAATAGAAATGTTCCATCCAGGCGTCACCTCTCCTCGGGGGCCACCGGATACGGTGTAGGGCATGGGGTCTCCTTAGGCTTGGCAGAACTCCTGGTTACCAGGGTTGCAGGTGCGTGAAGTGCACGGTGGACACACTGCGCGCGCGTAGTGCGCCCGCGGCCATTAGTGTTGTCAGGCGTGGGCCTTGCTGGGGGAGGTTCCCAGCACACACCTTCCGTCCTTTCCCTCCTGGATGGGGAAGCCTCATGGTTGTGGTCAGAGTTACTTAGGCTTCCGAACCTACATGACCCCTACTGATACCAACCTGATGTGTGGCATGATTTTGTGGTCAGCGTGCCAAATAAGTGGGCACGCTCTAGTGAAATGATAGAACCTCGGGAAGGGTGGGAGGGTCACGCGCGACCTCGCTGTGACGTGCCCTGAAGCTCCCTGTCTCCCTTCTTAAGGGGAGGAGAGCCGCCGCAACTCCTCCCACAAACACGGCCAAGATACCTTGGCCTATTACTTGTCTCGGCGACCAGGGGGGCGGTCCTGGTTACCACTGGGTATAAATTCCAGTCAGAGCCCTGGTTTGTTGCGGAGTTATTCTACCTATATGGTGCAATCACCTAGCATCCTGTGTCGGAAACTGCTGCCGTTCCCTGACCCCCATCTGAATTCCTGGTTACTGACCCGTTGGCCTGCCTTCACGCTCTTGAACTTAGCCGCCTGCCTCGACCCGGACTGAACTTTGACTACGCCTTTAGGATTTGCTCTCTGGTACCTCGCTGTGGACCTTCTTTAGCCCGCTCCTGCCAGTGGGTTCCACTCCTCGTTTCGGGCCTGTGACACCAGGGCCCTTTGATTTTTACAGGAGCTGAACCCTCCCACCAAAGGCCAGTAGAAAGTCCCTGCATGTTGATTAGAGGGGGTAGAACAGGGGAAGGTATTATATGCGTACATTACACTTCAACTTTAAGATGACGTCATCCAGTCTGAGCGATTGTGGCCACAATCGTAGCAGCAATCTTTTCTGTCTATACGTGGACACGCTTGTCGGATGTGGTCGGCTCGCAGCTATGATCACTGTAGTCCAGTCATTGTATGAAGATGTTGAAATAAACATATTCACAAGAACTGCACTTCGTTCTGCGGCAATGCAATAAAACCACCCGAGTTCTTCCTCCATTCATTGCTTCATAATTATCTTTTAACAATTACCGCTGAACCAATCTCTACACAACAGATACACGAAAGTGCCTTCTGTGGAAACATTGTTTATGATAAAATAGATGACAGAAGAGCTGAGTGTTTGGCCACAAAGGGATCTATGAAGGTTTATAGTAGATGGGAACTGAATGAATTATGTTAAGTTTGCCGAGTCATTGTGTGTCATAAAAACTGACTTTTGTAAATAAAAGATTTGTTTTATTTTTCCTCCTTTGTTTCCTCTCAGTGCTGCTGATCTCCTGTAGCCACTTCCTGTCTACATGCACTCTAGTGATGTCTGCATGGCAGTTCTCACGGCGGGTTTCCTGACGGTGACAACAGTGATCCATGTCATGTGTAATGTGTGCTGAAATGGTCACTTGCAGTCTCCGTCTGAAGCCCATGTGACAATGCAGAAGAACAATTAGAAGACAGGGACAGAGCGTAGTCACCCCATAACAGGGAGTGTCTGAACTAGGACCTTCATGGCAGGATAACAAGGTTTTATTTTGATTTATAAAATTATACGAACATGTTAAAGGAGAACGATGAGATGAGTGATTTCCACTCACCTCATAGTTCTAGCCGACCTGTGACAATGAGACTGTCACAGATCGGCTCAGTAGATCGGGAGGTGAGCGAACACCTACCAGGTTCGCTCACCTCTCGATCCTGTCACTGCTCTCTGCCGTGACAGGGGGAGGGGCTGGATTCCCCCCTCCCCGCTCCGATCTGCCAGCGCTGACTGGCGGAATGGACAGGGGAGGGGGCGGGTACAGCTGGCTCTGCTTCTAGATAGGCAGAGCCAGCTGTCACTCACGCAGCTGGGCGGATCCCGTCATCTACGTCGGGATCCGCTCCAGGTGCGGCGTCTCAGTATACCGCGAGCTGTAGCTCCCTATATACTGAGCTTAGGGTGACGGGAGGACGCTAGTTTGTGTCCTCCTGTTACCCTAAGGAGAACTATGGGGAAAAGCCCTGACCTCATAGTTCTCCTTTAAAGCTTCTACAGGATTTTAGTGATTGAGTCTACTTACCGCCATAGACTTCAGGGTCGCCTTTTCATAGTAGTGGATGGGTTCCTTTTTATCGCTGGGTGCTGGGTACCCGAAACCCGCAATGTCAACTACATCACAGAAGTGCAGGGCAAAGGTGATGGCCAACATTCCTGTGGTGGGCTTCTGAAAGGACAGAGTATGGACAACACTTGATGATGGAACCGAGAGGTAGAGTGGTGTTAGCACAGCAACATTCAGATTCCGGCATGAGACTTGTGAACAATCATCACCAACATAAGACATAGACCTCCACAATCAGACCCGTCCCACCCTGACTGGCTCCCCGAAATCACATCTTACCGCTTTCATCTTCTTAGACAGATCAGACACACTATCGAGGATTTTTGTTGCAGTCACCTCCATGTAGTAGGGGTTGAGGATGCGGGTGTTCTGGGGTTCAACTTCCCAAATCAGAGGGGGCATCTTCCAAAACCCCTTCCGTACCTGAAACAATAAATACAATAAGAGAGTAGGAAGAGAAAAATCTAAACAGTCTATTGTTATATATCTGCCATAATGATGGGATGCATGACATCCCCAGGAAGCACCGTAGATACTGCACAGTAGCCATGGCTGTCAAGCAACCTGGTCATTGGCGTCTCTATTTGCAGTCTCATTGACCACCATGTGGCGCCTGGAAGAAGGAAAGCCTCTGTGTTTGTGTGTCTTGGGAAGGTATCCATGTGCGCTAGAAGCCCAGTACTAATATCTGTGTATGGCAGCAGGACTAGTGCGTCTGTGTCTTGTTTGTGGATGTGCATCAGTGAGTTGCATAGCTATAAATGAGTGTACCTCATGTAGTGGGTATTTTTATGGGTGAATGTCTGACCATAAGGCAATTGCTACTATGTATTACTCTGGGGGAGGGGATTGTTACTTCGACCAATTTAAGCTTCCTGCACTTGTCAACCCCTCACAGAGCGGACAAAGCTCCTACATCAACATTAACAAACAGGATTGGCTTCAAACATTGTTTGGCCGATGATCTTCCAGCATTTCATTTTAGCAAAAGTCCATCTAATGGTCGACTTCTGTCGAGGGGATAGGGCCACCCACAGATCAAATCTTGCGCCAGCAATTGGCTCCGTGTGTACATAAACTGTCTATATTTCTTTAGTAAATCATCTCCAGTGGAAGATGTATGGAAAGAAGCGTGGGCAATGGTACTGAATTCACACTGCGCAGCTCCTCTGTACATCTTCCTCTATGTACTGTATTTCACCTGTATATCCTCAACCTGTGTGTGTCCTTCATACAATCTACATTTCTCCTCACGTTGTATTATTTATCTTAATCTAACAAAAAACAAACTGCCCCCC